ATAATTTTTCCAAGTAAGTTAGAGGATAAGAGCATAATGGGGAAGCTTAATCAAGAAGATGTGATCACATTTAAAAACATCAGGGAATGAGGCAGGAGACACAGAGAGAGACACACAAATAGAAACACATGCAGAAACATGAGACAGAGAGAGAAAAGAGGAATGACAGAAAGGAGAGGAAGACAAAAAAGGAGATGGCAGGAATGGATGGAGACAGAGACAGCCAGAGATGGATATGGATGGAGATGGGGAGAGAGAGACAGATGGAGACATAGGCAAGTGGCCTTTCAACTATATCACACTGTTAAGAATCAAGTTGGTGTTGTGGAAGTGAAGGCAGCAGGCCTAGTTAATTTTTTTCTAGGGTTTTAACAGTGAAAGGGAGAGAAGATAGTAGACAAAAAAAAAAAGAGACAGAGACATAGAGACACAAAGATAGAGACATAGAGAGAGAGGTAGATGCAGAGGGTTGGAGAGGTAGGGAGAGAGAGGGCAGAATAGAGGAAGAGAAAGAAGAGAGACAATTACTACTCTTTAGGTGCCACAATTCAATTATTATTGACTTACTTTCTTTCCATCTTATAAAAAGGAATGATTTCTTCAAAAACTTTCCTGAAATATATGTATAATGCTTCTTGAACATTGTCTTGGTGTACTATGTTAAGAGTCCTGTGGGAAAAAAAATGAAGTTCCTTTGGTTTCACCTCTTTTGATGAACCAAATAATTCTTCATCTTTTAAGTGTTACTAAACCATTCCTTCAACATCAATTATAGAAATTTGCCTATAATCAAAGTTAATTTCATTATTACACTTTGAAAGGTATACCTTATTACACTTCTGAAAGTTATTATCACATTTGACAATCTCTTGCCGAATTGCATTTCTCTTGTTCTCCATGATTTTTCAGAAATCATTGATTGCAGCTCAGCAATCATGTCTATACATTCTTTCAGTAACCTGGGATATAATTCATCTTGGCTGTAGAATAGAACTCATTGAAAGTAGCTAGTTATTCTCTTTTTTATATCCTCATTTGTCATTGGTTTTAATTTCCTTTTAACCATTTTCTTGTGCATTTTCCACCTTAAGTTTTTTTTGTTAGAAAAAAAGCAAAATAAGAATGAAGTAGTTTCTTTGTAACCAATTGTCTTTATCCCATCTACCACAAGCAACAGTTCTTTCATCTTCCTCTCTCATAGCTAAAAAGATATTTTAAAATCTCCCCTTTTGTTGCTTTGATGTTCCTGACCATATATGACCATAATACTGTTTTGTATTCTTTTCATGGTGGAATAATTTATATGAATTGTCAGAATGTTGTTCTTGATAGCATATCTTCCCTTTTGTACTTAATTCTCTTGTGCAATTTTAGGTCATGGGATCTTCCTTTTTGTTTCTCTAAACTCTTTCAAATGAAATATCCTAAAGTCCAGGCTGTATAGTAGTATAGCTATGTAGTCCTAACACAATTTTGTCCCCCTTCCCTCGTAGGGTTTTTAAAATAGGAAATAAAGTGAATACCATAGGAAAAATATGTAGCTTTCATAAAGAATTTTAACAAAAATGTTTATGCCGTAGTATCTCAGTTTCCTGTCATTTCTACTTTGGTAGCCAGTTCCTTATCGGTCAGAATAAGTTCTGGAATACTAGTTTCTCTCAAAACTTACTTTACCTTTTGAAGGTAACTGCTACACAATTTGTTAGCTGAGGAGTTCAACACCTACCATTCTATATCTTTTTTTTTGCTTTCATGGATAATCTCCTCACCCTTTTCTAAACTCTCTTCAAGGTGACTTCTGACATCAGCATTTAACTGAAAGTGCTCACTCTAAAGTTGCCAGTTATCTCCTAGTTGGCAAATCAAATGTGCTTTTCCAGTCCTCACCTTTCTTGAACAGTCTTATGTTTTTCACCATGCCTATCACCCTTTTCTCATGGACTCTTCTCTAGGTTGTTGTGACACTGATCTCTCCTGTACCTGCTGACTCCCAGTAATTGCAAGCCCCACCTCCCCCCCAGTGGACTTGTCCTGGGCCCTTTTCTCTTTTCCCTCTATGCTATTTCACTTGGTGATCTCATCAACTCCCATATATTCAATAATCATCTTTACGCATTCTCAGATTTATTTATCTAATCTCTGTCCTGACCTTCACTCTTGTATCTCCAACCACCTAATATAAATCTCAAACTGTATGACCTATGCACATCTTAAACTCATGTCCAAAACGTCACTCATAATCTATTTCCTTCAACCCCCAAATCCCTCTGCTTCTAAACTTCTCTATTCCAGTTGATGGTGCCACCATCCTTCCAGTAACACAGGTTCTCAACCCAGGTGTCATCTTCAGCCTCTTACTCTGTCTCCATCCACCTCCAATCCAATAAATTGCCATGTCCTGTCGATTTTATGTCCACAGCTCTCTCCTATATGATATCTTCTCTACTTTGACACTACCACCACCTTGGTACAGGTCATTAACACCTTATGTTTAGACTTCTGCTATAGCTTCCTTGTCTTAAGTTTTCCTCCCTTTAGTCAATCCTCCACTCAGCCATCAAAGTTATTCTCCTAAAGCGTAGGTTCGACTAAGTCCCTTTCTTTTTCGATAAACTCCAATGGCTCTCCATTGATTCCAGGATCAAATATAAAATCCTATGACTTTTACAGCCTTTCCTAACCTGTATCCTTGACTGTCCAGTCTTCAACTTTACTCTCATGTACTTTGCAATCCAGTGACACTGGCCTCCTTGCTGTTTCTCACACAAGACCTTCCATCTCCTGATTCTCTGCATGTTGCCTCTTTCCCACATGCCTAGCATTCCTTCCTTCCTCATCTCTGCCTCCTGGTATCCCTGATTTCTTTCAAGTCTCAGCTAATATTCCATCTTGTGCAGTAAACCTTTCCTAGTCCTCCTTAATGTTAATGACTTTCCTGTTCTTATTATTATATCCACCCCAAATGTTTACATGGACTATTTGTACCCAACCTGTGGTAGAGCCTTCCAAGCTCATATTGGTCTGCCTAGCCACAGTCAGATGCATTGTACCATGACTCCAACGTAATGATGTTGTGTTTTTCCTCTTTGAGAATGAAGGATAACAATTAACAACATTCCTCTGAGAGTGTCTCCAGGTTATCCAGTGTGTGTTTTATTTGTATGTAGTTGTTTGCCTATGGTCTTCCCCTAATTACCTTTCTTCTTTTTCTCCCCATTAGATTGATGGCTCCTTGAAAGAATGTTGTGTGTGTGTGTGTGTGTGTGTGTGTGTGTGTTTGTTTGTCTGTTTATCCCCAGAATTTAGCACAGTGCCTGGAATATAGTAAATGCTTCATAAATACTTGCTGACAACTACCTTCTTCAAAAGGCCTTATTCCCTCCATTGCCAGTACTTTTCCTTTAATATTACCTCTAATTTTGCCTTTTTGTGTGTATGTGTGTATTTTTTTTTGGTTGGCATGTTATTTGTACCATTAGAATGTAAGCTCAATGAATGTAGGGGCTGTTTTTTTTTTCTTATATTCCTAGTGTTTAGTATGGTGCTAAGAGCTGATTAAAATGCTTGTTCACCTGACTTGAGAAGGTCTTTCAAATTGTTGAAGTCTCCCATCCCTATAAATATGAAATGTCAGTTTATATTTTATATATAAGATATTTTTATATTTGTTGTTAAGTCATTTCAGTCATGTCAACTCTTTGTGACCCTATTTGGGGTTTTCTTTGCAAAGATACTGGAGTGGTTTGCCATTTCCTTCTCCAGCCCATTTTACAGATGAGAAAACTGAGGCAAACAGGGTTAAATGACTTGCCCAGGGTCACACAGCTAGTAAGTGTCTGAGGCCAGATTTGAACTCAGGAAGATGAGTCTTCATGATTCCAGATTACTGCTCTGTCCACTGTGCCACATAGTTATCTGCATTACATATATATAAAAAGATTACCCCACCTCATAAAATACAGGTTAAACTACTTTTTATTTCTTTGAATTAAATACATCCTCTATTGGGTAACTTCTGTATCAGTTTTGATGTGTGGGAGTGGTGGTGACCTGCACGTGTATTTCTTGTGGATAATCAAAACTTTTTCTTCATGCATATTGATAAACCAGCTGCTACTTAATAGTCAGAGATAGTCACATAGGGGTACCAAGGGATTATGGGGGTTTAAGTGTCTTGCCCATGGCTACTCATGTAATCCATGCCTGAAGCAGTACTTAAACCAGTGTTTCCAGACTCTTAAGTTAGTCCACTGTTCCCTAGATGTGAAACCTCTTCCTGTCTCCCCTAAGGAATGACTGGCTAGAGGAACAGCCCTTTGAGAATATTTATGCCTGCCTTTAAAAAGAGGAATAACCATATGAATGAAGGCTGAATGTAATTCCTATTTCCAAAAGATTTCAGTGACATTTTAGAATGCATTGGTGATGGTTTTGAGTATCACCACGTTCCTAGACTTTTACATATTGATTTCCTCTCTTTTACACCAAGGAAGTAGCCCAGTTTCATTCTTTCTTTGTTTTCTTATAAAGCTTTCTTAACAAACTGGAGAAAACTCTAGGAATCATCCCTAATGTGGTTCTGAAATTTAAGTTGTGATGAAAACAAGAAGAGAGATAGAAATTAGATGGCTTGTATCAATGACTTTGAGCAGAAAGTGAAAGAAGGGTTTGAGGAGCCACTTAAAGCCTTTCTTCTTGTTTGTGAGGAAATATCAAGAGTAATCTTCAGTACCTTTTGCCAGTGAAGGTAAGATTTTCCTTGCTATCATTGTTATGCTCTTTTCTTTGATGATTTGGTTTGAAGATGTTTTACTTTTTTTTTTTCCAAAATATTCAGTCCATTGCTTTTGATAGACCTTTTTCATTTACCATTTTAGGTTTAAACAACAAATGGTTTTAGTCTTAAATCAACAGATTTTAGGTACACAAAAAAATCATTATTAAGTCATATATATTTTTGTTTTGTTTCAGGAAACACAGCTGTCCCTCCGTCCTCTGAGGAGCCCGAAAATCCTGAGAATATCTCCAGTCAGCTGGAAGACTCTGGCTGTGATGTGTTAAGTGAAAATAGAACTGATCCTTCAGAGCTGTCCCAGAATGTTGAAGAGAGTTTTATTTCATCTTCTGAAATTTCTGTATGTCAACTGCCCATTGTGAAAAGTCACTGTGCCTTCCAAGAAAAAACTTTATCTTCGCACCTGCAATTTTTGCAACATGTTCTTGAACTGAAGAACTTGACAGAATCTGGTAGTTTGAAAACAGATTTAAACAAGTTTGAAAGTGACTGTTCCACAGTATCTGATTCTGTTTTTCGGTTGCTTGATGGCCTGATAACTTTTTACAGTGACTCTAAACTCCCTTTCTCAAACTTTTTGACAGAAGCAGTTTGTATTTTGACTAGGTTAATCGATGATTGTACTTTATCTAATCACATACTTAAAAAATGTTTCAAGAAGTTGGAAGAATTTGAGAAAACTCTAGTGCAGGTTATTTTAAGGAACAGCAGTATTAATCGGGTAAGTAGTATATTATTACATTATGTAAAGTTGAAAAAAAATGTAAAGGATGAGTTTAACTGACATTCCAGACATGTGTTATGTGGATCCATTCTTTGAAATGGATCTCCCTTACGGTCCAAAAGTCCTTCTATTGCACCAGTTAGTATATCCTGTTACCATGGACTACACCCCAGAGCCTGTCAACTCACCATCTTTTTTTTTTTCCATTTTTCTTACTTTCTTCAAAAACTTCTGATATTCTTTGTTTTTTGGGTAGCTCCAGTCTGTACACATTGGGCCCTGTTCTCACATTCTATCTCTAGGGCTAGTTCTTTCATTGCTTATTCTAGTGTTCTATTTGCTGTTTGTATTTTCACTTGCTTCAGTTGTGTCTGACTCTTCGTGACCCCATTTGGGGTTTTCTTGGCAATGATATTGATGTGGTTTGCCATTTCCTTCTCCAGCTCATTTTATAGATGAGGAAACTGGAGCAAATGGAGTTAGGTGACTTGTCAAGGGGTCACACAGCTTCTAAGTGTCTGAGGCCAGGTTTGAACTTGGGTCTCTCTGACTCTAGGCCTAGTGCTGTATCCACTGCATCATCTAGCTGCCCATTCTTTTTACTACTTAAAAGTGAACAAGTATTAATTCCTAAAAATTTTAATGGTTTCTCGGCATAATGGCTCTACAACATTGGAATCTTTTATATTGTGCTGTGATATTATAATTAATAGCTATAAACTTGTATTTGTTTATTCACCCTCATTAGATTGTAACCTCTTGAGGTCAAAGTCTTTGTCTTCATTTCCTCTGTTCCTGCCCTAGTAACCAGTACAGTAGTACACAGATGGACTGATAGATAGTAGGAAACAAGCCATGCATTGAACACGTATTTCTTTTCCTTGTCATTAATCACTACTTGCAGGTACTGAAATAGGCAAGCTCCAAGTTCTATTCTGTTGTAGCATTTATTTAACTGGAGTCTTTTTTTTTCTCCCCACTTAAAGATATAATTGTTTTCCTTCCTTTTATTATGTGGTATATTTTTTGGTCTCTGTTTCCTTCCCTTGGGCAGTATTAAATACCCTAGTCTCTGATCTTTTTAATTGAGAAGTAAGAAAGAATAGAAGTGGATACAGAGGAATAAACTGTATGTTTCAGCCTTGTCTTGGAAATTGTATTTCACCAAGGAAAGCTGTTATCTATTGATTTTTAAAATGTAGTATTGCTATTTGCTTTTATTGAGTTCATAATTTGTCCCTTAAGTAATTTTCATTTTTATATAAATATTCAAAATACTGGCCAAAGTTTTCAAGCATACCTTCAGTTGATGATTTCATTCTATATATGTTCAGTTTGTTTTTTTTAATTAAGTTATTATAGTGATAGACATTGTAGAAAAAGAAATGGCATGATGGAGTTTTTTAGCAGTTGTGGAAATGTTTGACTTTTTTGTAGAATCTTTTTTTCTGTTCTCATCATACCCCATCAGTGTGCCACAATTACAAAAGATAAAATTGACTTCTCGTTGCTCTTTATAGATAAAGCTGAAAAACTCAATTACTTCATGATACTTTATCATTTTCCTACCTTGTGCCTTGGTTTCTGTTTTATTCTCCCCAAACAGTTTAAAACACATTTTACATGATGTAAAATGCCAATACTTGTGTGAGTTTCACTATTCACCAGAAACAATAGAAAAAAAAAGTGGGTGAGGGTGTGGGTGTGTGCACCCATCATGCCCACACACACTGCCTGTGTCTGACTGGGACAAAAAAAAAAGAAAAACTTACAAAGGTGAGCCTGAGTTCTGGGAGACTTTACAAAGAGTACACAAACTCTGACTGATTATAACAGTGTACAAAGGGTGTATTTTAGTGGCATCTGCAGAGACAGACAGAGCCCTGGGTCTAGGGTCAGGAAGACCTGATTTCAAATAGCTTCAGACATTTACTAGCTGTATGACCCTGGGCAAGTCACGTAATTGCTGTTTGCCTCCATTTCCTCAACTGTAAAATGGGGATATTAATAGTGCCTAGCTTGCAGGTTATTGTAAAGATTAAATGAGCTAATGTTTGTAAAAAGTTTAGACCATCTGCTGTCCAAGAACCAATTAGTAATTGTTTAAACGAGGTGTTAACTTTTTAACAATGGACAAAAGTAAAGCCCCCAACTATGACTTTGCAAAACAATTTTCCTGGTAAAAAGCTCTGTGGAGCCCAAAAATCATCTTAGCCAGGAGTTTGATTTTCTTGCCAACTAGAGAGACATGCCAAGCCAAGAAAAATACTGATTTAAAATGTAGACGCATTTGCAAAATACTGTAGAGTAATGAAAAAGTGGGAGCAAGAGAGCAGCAGCTAGGTGGGATTGAGGGCCTTCATGGGTGAGGACACATTGATTACCATGAAGATAGCCCTAATCATTCAGGAGAGTGGGGTGGGCAAATTCATCCTCTGTTGTGATGAAGAGATTAAGGCTTTGATCCAGAGCTCACAGTAACAATGAGGCTTGACTTCCAGGTCAAAACAATATTATTTTATGGAAGTAAAACTAAGCTTTCAGTATGGGATAGTGCTTATCAAGAACAGTTGTCAACACTGATACAGTAGCCATACAGACATTACAGCCACACATAATAGCCATTACAGAGGCTATAAGATGTTCTATTGAGTTACGATGTCACAAGAAGAGGCATTTTGTTCAGTTGGATACATGTGTTAAATGAATAAGAAATATACTGCTTGACAAAAAATCAACCAATCAAGCGTTTATTTAGCACTTAGTATATAGTGTAATATATAGTACATTGTGATAAGTGTTGGAAATACAAAGAAAAAAAATGAAACCTTTCTCTCAAAGATGACATTCTAATTACAGAGACCTCACATATATTTATAAATAGGGAAGGAAATAAGCATTTTATACAGTGCCTACTACAGTGCTAAGCACTTTTTGTAAATATTTCATTTGATCCTTACAACAACCCTGCAAATTAGATGCTATTAATACCCCCATTTTACAGTTGAGGAAACTGTGACTTACCCAGGGTCATACAGCTAGAAAGTATCTGAAGGTACATTTGAAATCAGGTCTTCCTGACACCAGACCCAGTGCTCTATCCATTGTGCTTCCAGCTGCCTCTAAAATAGCCAGTATGTTTTTTGACCTCACTCACTCTGCTAAAACAAACCCAGATTCTTCTCCTTTTTAGGGTTCTAGAGGTACCCCTGAGGGCTTAGAGTATTTCTTATCTACTGCCATCAGCTTGATCCCCTAGTCTAATGTAGTTCCCCAACACTGTTATCCACCAGTGACTAGCACCCCAGTTTCACTTAACCACTTAACATCAATGAGCTTATACAAACGTCTAGCAAGATTAGAAGAATAAACATTACCCTCCGGTACCTCAGGGACACACTCCCTCTGATACCTTTTAGGTCTCTGGGGAGAATAGACTCAGACTTAACACAAATTCTACATAGCTTTGGTTGTATCAAGTTCCTGTCTAAATGCATCATCACTACCTGATAAGTCCTCATTCTACCTCATGCTGGGCTTGGTGCTTTATAGTATTTTGATATACTTTTATAAAATATTGATAAATATATTGATAAACATTTCAAAGACTCAACTCTCAGAATTCTGGACCTCAGGTAACTCTCTCTTATGAATTTTCAAAACTCACAAGTTATCACTTCCAATTTTCTTCACCTAAAATGAAAAGAACAATGCTAATTCAGTCAGTAAACTGTGACCTATATTCCTGGGACCACATATTGGCCTTAGGTTTGTCCTTGAAAAGAAGCCAGACCAAGAGGAAAGAGAAGCTGAGGCTTTGCTTGGCTTGACCTTTAGAATGTACCCCTAGTCATTCAAGAGGACTCTTCCTCACCACATGGTTAACAGACCTGAATCAATTACAGAATGTCTGTACATGTTCCAGGGTCTCTCCATTACATGTCATTGCAATTCTCCTAGCTGCTATCTCCCAACACCCTTCTACAATGGCAGTTGCATCTGCGGTATAACTCACATTCTCATAGGTGCTAGGCTTATTGAACAGTTTATGTAAGTTTACATAATGCAAATACATACAAAGGAAATACCAGGTAAGGAGAGAGAGCACTAAAAATTGGTGAAGTCAAGAAAGACTTCATGTAGAAGGTAGTACTCAAGTAGTATCTTGAAATAAATGAGAGAATATGTGAGACTGATGTGAGTAGAGACTACTCACATTTAGGCTTGGAGGCAGGCAGCATAAAGGCATGGGCATTAGAGATAGACTGTTACCTGTGAGGCAATCTAGATAGACTGTAGAGTGTGGAAAATTAAGTACTGTATGATAAATGTGGAAAAATATATTGGGACCAAGTGGTGAAGGGTTTTTAAAAGCCAAATAGAGTTTATAGTTGGTCTTAGAGGAAATAAGGAACCTCTAGAGCTTACCTAGTAAGGGAGTTACATAGTCTGGTCTGGGCTTGAAGAAAATAACTTATTGTCAGCTGTGTGGATGATGGAGTAAAGTGGAGAGAAACTTGAGGCAGAGGTAATATTAGGAGGGCATTGCAATAGTGTAGGCAAGAGATGAGAACCTGAACTAAGGTAATGTCTGTGTGAGAAGGGAAGGAATGCAAGAGATGTGGAGGTTAAAATGGCATGATTTGATGTCAGGATATGTGGGTTGAGAGTAACGTCAAGTTTACAAACTTCAGAGACTGAAGGAATGGCACCCTGTACAGAAATAGGAAAGTTTGATAGCAGGAAGTGGTTTTGGGGAAAGCAAATGTTTTCTTATTTGGACGTGTTAAGTTTGAAATGTTTAATAAGTAATTGAAGATGTAGAACTGTGTTGCTTAGGCAAGATCTACCTCCTGGAATTTTTTTACTTCCTTCAGGATTCAACTCAAGCATCGACTTCTACATGAAGACTTTCCTGTTATCCTCTACTATTAGTGATCTCAGTCCCTCCTTGAAGTTAGCTAGTTGGTGCAGTGGATAGAGTGCCGGGCCTGGAG